GGTGTAAAACATATTTCGGCTGGGCTAACCTATAAGAGCAACTCCAGCCCATGCCCAATGGACTGGCACCAAGTGAAGAAAATGGACTGGCACCACATTTTTCTGCTCCAGCCCGTGCAATTGACTGGCACCCAGCCCGTGCCAGTCAACAGCCCAGCCCAAAATGGACAGACCCATTCCCCGGTCTGTTTCTGGCGCGTGCAACACACGCGGTGCCCGGGGCGCGTAGCCGACAGGCTGTGCAGGCGCTGGGGCCCGCGTGCAGGCCCACTTGCAGTCGTCCGGGGTGAAGGATACGTGGCCTCCTCAGAGCCGTTGGATTTCCAACGGCTAGTTTTTTAGGCCGTTGGATTTCCAACGGTAAAAAAAATTTAAATTTAAATTTTAAATTGGACCGTCCGATCACAGATCAACGGTCCACGTTTATTTCACCAAAAATTTAAAAAAAAAAAAAAAAAAAAGACCCAACGGTCAGAAATTTGACCGTTGGCCACGTGGCGTAATGAGTGCTGTTGGATTTGATTATTTTTCAAATCCAACGGTCCCGATTAATTACAACATTAAAATTAATTAAAAAATGTCAAAAATTTTTAAAAAAATACAGAAAAATTTTAAAAAATTAATTTTTTTTTCTATAAATACCTAACCCTCATCTTCCACCTTACACCACATTTCAATATTTTCTACACTTTCTACATTTGAATATTTTGTACACTTTGAGAGAAAAAAATGACTTCGTGGAAGCTCAGTGAAGATGTTACGTTGTGTGAATGTTGGGTTCGCACTACTCATGACCCGATTACGGGTAATGAGATGGATAAGCGAGAAATGTGGAGTAAAATTACGAAATCGTTCAACGATGTACATGGAAAAGATGTACATGGAAAAGATGCCAGATCTAGTCAAGGTCTTCAAGGTCGTTGGAAAAAACTCAACGCATCCTTTACTTGTTGGAAAAACGTCCTCTCTCATACTTCTGGTAATTTGCGTAGTGGGACAAGTTTAGCGGATGAGGTAACAATATTTTTATTTATTTATATGCATTCCACCCACATCAATATTTTAATTTATTTAATTTCTTATGTAATTTTTATGTAATATGCATTCCAAATACTTATGTAATTTTTATGTAATTTTTATATAATTTTTATGCATTCCACAATTCTTATTTAATTTCTTATGTAATTTTTATGTAATATGCATTCCAAATACTTATGTAATTTTTATGTAATTTTTATATAATTTTTATGCATTCCACAATTCTTATGTAATTTTTATGTAATTTTTATAGACACTACAAGCACAAGCATTCTACAATGCAAAGAACCATAACAAATCATTCAACAAATGGGAATGTTGGTAAATTGTCAAAGATTGCCCTAGATACAAAATTGTGGCAACCAGTCCAGAAGTTGTCATGCACGGTATGGGTCTACACAGTTCGCCAGAAGCAGACACAGCCGAACAAGAAGCCAACACATTTGAAGACACGGAAGGGATGCCTGAACAAGTGCCAGAGACCCAACCGACTCGTCAGTCCCTCAGGCCTCAAGGTAGTGCTTCCAATCATGCCAGGGAAGCCTCGCATCTCACCCTTCCTCAGAAGCCTTCGCATGTCCCTTGGCGTGGGTTGCCGAAGGTACTCATTGGTGTAGAGGGCTTCAATTGCAGAGCAAAACCGCATCAGGGACTCCAGAACTGTTGTTTTTCCCATCCTTGCGATCTCATCCACTTGATCTGCAGATGCTCCATATGCAAGCATTCGCAAGGCAGCCGTAATTTTTTGCTCAGGAAGAAGACCTAGCACATGAAAAGCATCCTCTTTTTGCACAAAATATGGATCATGGTTGCAAACATCACTCATGATTTTAGCGAACAAACTTCCTTGCATTCTAAAACGACGTCTAAAAACATGATCAGGGTAAACGTTGTTGGGAATAAAATAATCTTCCAAGAGATCTTTACCTCGTCTTTCCCTTCTTCTATCGATGTTTGTCGCACGTCCGGGTTTGGCTATCTGACCCATAGCTTGCATGATACGGCGGGAATGTGAGGCCCTCCGCCTTCTATGGTGATCATCATCATCCTCCTCCATTGCGAAGACCTCATCTCCACCTCCATCTTGGTCAAGATTGACCAATTCTTCCTGTTGTGCCAACAACCTTTTCTGCTGCTCTTGCAACTGTTTATACGCTCTCCTTGAAGAAGACATTGTAAGAACTCAAGATTTGAAAACGATAAAGAAGAATTCTGAGCTAAAAAAAAGGATGAGTTTTAGTGTGAGGATGGATGTAGGGATGTAGGGTTTATATGGACAAAAAAGAAGAAGATGAGGTTCTGGACAATGTCACGTGGCACTACGTGATTGGTTGAAAATCTTAGCGGAAATCTATTCAAAAAATAGTACGTCGGATAATGACACGTGGCGTGACGAGATTGGTTAAAAATCTTATCGAAATCTTGCCTAAATAATTGTAAACAGGAAGTGACACGGTGGGTTGTCGGGATTGGTTGAAAATCTTAACGGAAATCTATTCAAAAATAGTACGTTCGGATAATGACACGTGGCGTGATGAGATTGGTTTAAAAAATCCTATCCGAAATTAAAACTATTCTTTTTTTTATTTTATAAAAAAATTATTAATATTTTAAATGGACGGGTGCCAGCGCATTTTGTAGGGGTGGAGATCGTTTGTCCAGCGCATTTTTAGACTAGGTGCCAGCACATTTTTTTTGGAGTGGAGATGCTTTGGCCTATTACTGTTCATTGAGTCTGTTACTGTTCAATTAAGTGGATAAATGGGTTGGGTGCTGGCGCAAAGTGGATAGGGGTGGAGTTGCTCTAAAGCCTTTATACTTGGTTTAAAAGAATATTTGATAATCATTTGTTTTCAGTTTTTTGAAATCTAAAAATTTGAAAATTTGTTTGGTAGCTAAATAATTAAAAACGGAAGAAAACCAAAAGTTAGAAAATTAAGGTAAAAAAAAATTTTGAAAGTAATTATTAAATGATTTTTTAATTGTTCAAATAATTTAAAAACAAAAACTGAAAATTAAAAATCAAAAAGTAATTACTAAACGAGTTTTCAATTTTACTGTTGCAAAACACAAATGCTATGTATATGTTCCTTTTATATATTCCCAGACTGACATACAAGAACCACAGCATACAAGAACCATAGCACAATAGTCAAATACATTCCGTCGTTAACCTGCTCATATGTTCGTGCAGGTTTGCTGGGGTCTCGGTCGGTGGCCACTATTTTCTTTACAGTAGTGAACATGTCAATTGATAACATCATTCTTTCAATCCTTTATGAGGTGCTATTTCTAATCCAGCCTCCGAGTACGTGCACCTAGTCCCTGAATTTTTCTGTTCTACGTCCTGTATATATTCAAGTGTTAGAGGAATCCGAGAGGGAAAATACAGCCTCCATGGAAGATTGGAATATTCATCTTCACTTGTTTCCCAATGTTGATTTGAGTGAAGTAGAGGTTTGAATTGTGGATGCAAATTTCCGCCTTCTTCTTCTTGGACAAAATTGCACCTACAAAACAATTAACACCTTAGGTCAAGGCCAAGAGCCTCGCGCTCACAATGAATTGGAAGGGAGGCTTTAGCCGAAGAACCTCCGATGCCACAGTTAGAATTTAGAGAGAAAAGTGTTTGGAGAGTTTTTAGGAGTTTTGCAAGAGTGTGGAACTAGTCTTTCAAAGAAAATGGAGTCCTATTATAGAGCATGGTTGGCCCTTGGATGTTTTTTGGGGCGTAATAGTGATTAATGGATTAATTTAATGAGCCTAATTAATTTAAGTTATATGGAAGGTTTTAAAGGTTATGGAATGATTTCCTTGTAGAGGATATGGAGTAAAGATGGATGAGATAAATTTGAACTTGTTACCTATTTTGGGCACTCTTGACTCGATTGAGGTATGATTTCTATCATTTGACATTGCACATCATTTAATTTAACACAACCAATCTACTTATGTTGTAATAGGCATTATAATTATTCGCTCTGATCAGCGACCTCCAATTAAAGAAATTCAAACTTAATATGAGCAGTTTAAGGATACACATGATGAAAACCAGCACCATTCAATCAAAGATGAAACGTTCAAACTTCAAAGCTGCCAAAATCAAAGTGAAATTCTGACCGGAGTACTTGTATCCCATGGTTGGAATCTCTACACCAAATGCAAGCAAAAACGTTTCAGATGCAAATGGCAAGATAGCCTTGACGTTGAGAACTCGATCTGTCTTTGACCTCCCGCAGTCATTGCATGCCGTTTATTTCATTCACGCAAGGGAACTCCTAATTCATAAAGCTCACGACTTGTTCACAAATTGAGTGTGTATGAAGACAACATTCTCTGTTCTGAATCTCTAATATTATAAAAAATAAAAAATAAAAAATTAAAAAGTTACAGTTTCATTATAAAACTAAGGAATTTTAACGAAAAGCTCACGGTACTGTTCACTCTAACAAAAAATCACATTTTTACACTAAAAAGTCAAACCTGGTACTATTTACTTTACCATTTATTTTGTCCTTATCATTAAAACTCAAAGTTTTCAAGTTCTTTTTATTAGTTTTCCTTAAACCTAATTAATAATATAATCAGTAGCTCAATTTAATTTTAAGCTCATACAAAGTCTATTTTCCTATCATTGTGGAACTCATTCTCAACCATAGTCCTAAGCATAATCGTATCTTCAGATCAATAATTTGAATGGAGGACATAATGGGGGTTCCTTATTAAATTATATAGAACTTTGTACGTACATATGTACGTATTTATGTATTTTTACCATACAAAGTTCATAATTAAACCGTTAAATTTCTCACTTGTTATTTGAAAATCGTCCTTATAAACAAAGAAATAAATATATTAAAAATACACACTTGGGTTGTTTTAGATTCTTAGTTCTTGGGCTGCAAGTTCAGATGGGCTTCCTGTAAAAACAAAACTCCACCTTGGTTGTTATCAAAGCAAAAGCCCTACTTGCCACTTGCTTATGGAAGAAAAATAATGAAAATTGGAGAAGGCAGAAAGAGCATGCGGCAACGTTTCTGAAGAGGCAGGCATTTTGTTCTTACCAGTGAAGATTCTCTCATTTCTCTCCTTCCCTCCGCCGCTCCCTCCTCCATCTCCGTCACTAAACGCTCGCTTACTCCCTCGCTCTCTCTCTGTCAAACTAGTAAGATTCCATTTCTCTGTTTCTTTTTTTATTTGGTCGGCATTTCGATGCTTATAATTTTATGGTTGAAATTTTGATGCTAATTTTTTACTTGCTTCTGCCATGCTATGCCTAACGCGTAATGGGTTTCTTTCCCAATTACAATTTATTGATATTTGCTTTGCTTTTGGTGAATTATACATCTCTGCTATGCATTTCTACAAACACATAGAGAGCAACATACTTCTGAGATAACTTAGAGAATTTTTTTGTTTTTTGATCGAAATATAAGCTGAATTATGTGTTTTTACTGATTGGGTTGGGATCACCTGAATTGTGACCACTTGTTATAGGCTTGGATCAGCTGCTGTCTGGTCCATAACAGCTTTCGTAGTCTATCGCGATGGATCAAGCATATTAGGTTTTTGTAAGGAATAGTTGCTAAGCTTGTTGCCTCTTCAGTTACTGAGCTTCAAATCGTTTGATAATGTTGAAATTCGATGCCAACGCCGAAATTTTGCATTTCCAGTTCTTGTACTAGATTATCTGATCAGCAATGAGGTTTTTGGGTATCCAGTATTTGTTAATGCTAAAGCAATGTAATTGGGTTTGGCAGCAAGGTATGGCAGGCAGAGGAGTTATCGGGGATCGATGGTCCATGAGGATTCTCTGGGCGTGTGCAATCGGCAGTGCTGTCAGTATGAGCTCTCGACTCTTCCATATTTTGATTCTTGATTCAAATAGCATACTTGATTTCCAAGTCTTCATAACAAAAATGTCTGTTCTACTTTTAGTTTGACAATACTTTTGGTTTACAATCTGCCGCACGAATAGTATTTATGCCGCGCATAACTCAATTATACGGGTGTTCAAAAATTCAAAATTCGAGCCAAACCAACCGGTTAAACAATTTAATTGTTTTCTTTCCTCAATTGGATTGGATGAGAAATATATTAGGTAAAGTATCGTCTAAACTGATCAGGGTTTCAAACTGGTAAAACCCCCAACTAGTACTCTGGATAACACCGCGTTTCATGTAATTGTCTGTTCTGTACATTTGTCTTTGTTCCAATTTCTTGGAACCTCCTTATTTTTCTGACGAGGATTGTTACTTCTTTTTAGGCCTATATATGGTTGCTGTGGACAGACAACTAAAGAACAGGGAACGAGCCCTGGCTGAAGAGTTAAAGGCCATGGAGGCAGAATCAGGCAGTGGTGAGGTTGTTTGACTGTTGATAAATTATAGGCAATGACTAGCTTAGAGCTTTCCAGATTTCCCGAGTTCGCATCTTTGCCATTTTGGCCATTGTGAGGATTTAAGTAAAATGTTGTCTGCTGACCAGAATTTCCCGATTCTGGTTTTTGGAGGATGATAATGCATAAGTGGTTGCAGAGAGTGTTCTTTTCACAGGAATCTATGTTCAAGAATGACGATGTTTTGGTGACTGGTGTCCAGTCTCTGACATTTCTTTTGCGATGCATTCAAACACGTTAGCAACGTTTTCATTCCCACTCATTAGTTTCATCCCAAAACTGTTCGAATAGTCCTTTATTCAAAACAATCCACTTTGATGTCAAATTTTCTTTGCTATTTTTGCTTTGCATGGTCAGTCGTGTGCGCAGGGCTGATCCTGGCATGCTGGCACAAAATGCATCAACAATCAAGATCAGCCCGCTTCTTTGTAGGCAACTGAAGTAGCATCCTTAAATGCTTATTTGGTAGTGTTTATTTGTCCAGACTATTAATATGGGGTTATTAATTTGTTTTAGCCACTTCAAACCCGTGATCTGAACCGATCATTGTTTAAATCCTCGCTCAACCATCGGTCGTGCAAAAAAAATTCACCAAAATCGAAAAAACACACCCGATGCATGTTCGTCAATTCTAGTTCTATTGTGTGATGATGTGATCAATGAAATGAGGTGGCCCGGCAGGGAAGCTGAAAACAAGTTCCGTTGTGGTAATACTCTACTCACAAAAGCTTAATGACTCCACAGAGTTCTAAAACAACTGGCAATCCTCGGAGAAGCGCTTTTGGTGCTTTTCTAGTTTCCAACTTTTACAAGCACTTTTTCCTGCAGAGCCCAAGCTCGCTATATATATGTAGCCATATAACCATGCAAAGCAAAGCAAAGCAAAGCAAACAAAAGGAAAAAGATGGCTTCCTGCAGCATTGCGTTGATGGCACTTGTCTGCTTGCTCTGCTTGAGCAATGCCCATAGGGTCCTCAAAGTTGAGAACCCAAGTGGGCATGAAATGAGAATGAGAATGAGAATGGAAAAGCCCATGGGCCAAGGCATTGGCATTGGAATTGGGGCAGTGATGGCGAAGGATTTGGAGAGGGCTAGGGTGTTGGCAGAGGCTCTAGCAGCGGTGTAGGCAATGATAGCGAAGGGTTTGGAGAGGGTTATGGCAAAGGCATTGGTGAAGGCGGCGATAGGAAAGGATTCGGAGAGGGCTACGGCAAATGGATTGGAGAGGGCTATGGCAAAGGCATTGGTGAAGGCAGCGATGGGAAAGGATTCAGAGAGGGCTACGGGCAAAGGCATTGGTGATGGCAGTGATGGTGAAGGGATTGGAGAGTGTTATGGTGTTGGCAGAGGCTCTGGCAAAGGTGTTGGGTATGGAAAAGGCATTGGTGAAGGTAGTGGAAGAGGCACTGGTATTGCCATTGGCCGAAGTTCCACAGATGGTGGATATGGAGAAGGTAGAGGAGTTGGTATTGGAACTGGGCATGGTGGATATGAGACTGAACAAGGTCCATGGAGAGGAAGACCTGGGTACGGACACAGCGCTGATAGCGGGGTAGGGTCCGGTTTTGGCATCGGCATAGTGTCTGGTTATGGAAGCAATTGCGGTGAGAGCTTTTACGTTCCTCTCCCGGGTTGCAGTTGTAGTTACGCAGGTGAGCCAGACCCGGATCGCTCAATTGATTGGTACCAAGTTTGCGAAGCATCTAGTTTCCCGTGTGCACCGGGCTGTGGCCGCCCGGATAGCTCACTTGATTGGTACCATATCTGCCACAGTTACGGCCTCGTCCACGGAGCAGGCCAGGGTGGACAAGGAGGACCAATGCCACCAGAATCATCATCCTACACAGCAAATGCTGCAAAGCTTCATAACTTGATAACTTTATGAAATCTGTAAAATAAAAGCTTAAGAAAATAAGATACTCAAAAGGGACCATACACGTACTATTCTAATGAAATCTCTGCTCACTCTATCATGTTTTGCTTGATTGAATTTACAACATACAATCACAGACGATGCGTATAAGACGAGGATATTTGATCAAACCAGGCAAAAACTAGCCCCGGTGGTACATCCATCACCTTGATAACACCAGTAAGAGGCCTCATTGTCAAGTTACATTTGATTCTTTGAACACACCCCTAACTTTTGTAAAAATATTACTGCCTAATTAAACAACTAGCTCACATCATTCATAATTAGTCAGTGATATATACTGATTTCATATATGTAGCTATTACATCAAATGTTTACATTCTAACTACTGCACTATCATGTCATGCGTTGTTACATCCTGCTAGTATTGTATGACCTCAAGTATTTTTCGTACTGCATATGGAGGGAAGCAAAATCTGCACAATTTCCTTTTCTAATACTTTCTTATTCAATCGGATCCCATATTCTTAGTCATGCGATTTTTTCGTTACCATCTTTGTTGATCAATGCTTCATTCCCTTCTAGCTGGCATTGAAGCGGATCTTGGAATACCTTCTGTTTGAATAGTCAATGTAACTGATTGAGAAGAAACAGAAGCCGATGGTCGAAGAAGGGGTGTACCTGGCCTAGTTGAGGTTTGGTTACCAACTGGGCAAGGACTGGACACAGAACAAAAAACCGGTTGCAACTCAATTCCATTATGCGTATTAGCATCATCTGCAGGGTAATCGATCATTTGATGATCATCGTCCTCAAGTGATGCTACTGTGCTTGTTTCTGTGCGTATGGTTGAATCATCGGTGTACATGCCTAGCCTTCTTTTCCTCCTAGCTGCCTTTCCCCATCCATGAATTGTTTCTCTTATCCGTTGTGGGATTATTGCCGCCTTATAATTCGTTCCCATCTGAAAATAAACGTAAAATACAAATACATAAGTCGGAGTTTCAGTCGATGGCATATATGCATAATGTATGTATATCTGGCTGTACCTGAGTAACCAAGGCATACAGTGGCAAGGTGCTGTAGCTGCACAGGAACTGCCCGGCAAACCTATAAAATAATTACATTAATAAACGACCAGTGATTGACAACATACATTATATGGTAGGTTGACGTAACCAATCAAATCGGTTGCATACCCTAAAATCAGCCTTATATACACGAGCCAATGCCTTCGGATAAAGCAAGAGTTATACCCAAATTGCCACTGTAATCAAATAACCAAGAAATTTAGTGGCCGTAAACAACTGAACAAGTTGTTTTCAACTTGCAACACTCCACGGTGAGTACAAATTTAGTCATGGAAAAGGAATTACCCAAAACCAAAAGAATGAAGCCAATTCAAATGCATTCTGCAAAATGAGAACAGACGGAACAGAGAAAAAAAAAAAAAAAACACATGTCCATTAGTTTTATAATTGTGATTTGTGAGTACAAGTCGCCAAAGAACGTAATGATACAATAATAAAAGAAACGCAAGGCATCGCGATAACCATTGTAAACCTGGAATAAACAAAAATGGATCAAGGTCAACAAAAGTTCGGGCTTCTTGAACCAGAAAAGATCATCCCGAGGCCTCAGCTTTGCTCCTCCATGGGATCCAGTTATACCAGCATTCTCCAATGCTAGGGTTGCAATAATATGCTGCAGCTTCATTCCCACAAGAAGAACTAGCTGCATAGGAAGTTAGGAACTTACAATAAAAATCACATTACACGAGAAGCACACGACTAACATATTTGAGAAACAGGTTTATTGTCAGGAAATTCACTACTGTTATAGCCCCACCATGTGGATATAATATCTCAAGGTGTGATGTGTTCTTTCGTGGTCAATGGCCAGTTGATAGGTCCCAAGTTCAAATTCCCTCCCCCATAGTTCATAACTGATTAAAAGGAAGAGGTGATGTGTGCTTCTACAAACGTCAGTTTTCCGATTCAAATTTTTGGTAGCTTCTTAGAGATCATCAATTTTAGCATATAGGTGACAACCCAAAACTGAAAAGGAGATTAGTAAACTTTGTACTTACCGTAATTGGAATGATTGCAATCCAGAAATAAAGATTAGACCCTGTCATAGGTCACAGAAAACAGCCACATTTTTTAGCTTTCAAGACCGATCATCACTATAAGTTTATGATCCCCCAACTGGCAGTTAGAGTAACAAAGTAACAAAATAACGAAACACGCAAGCTACAATTATTACTGAAGGTGAATACAGATAAGTCCTTTAGAGAGCGAATATCCAAATTAAAAAAATAAATAAACACTGTTTTGTAGCATATTCATGCTTAGAACTACCAATTCCCTGCATTTCATATTCCATTGCACGCATACCTTTTACATTAAACAGCATGAAGGCAACAACAAATCCCCAGAGTGTGGCACTGCAAAAGATTTGAGAAAAAGCATTTAGATGTTTGTTCTCTGTGGAATTCAACTATCCAAACCGTAAGCAGTAATAACATCCAATAACAGATGTTAGTGATCAGCAGAATTTGAATTAGGTAAAAGTTTAACTTGAACGCTTCTTGTTATTATTGTTGTTACCATTCTAAATCTCTCCTCTTGTTGCACCTGACCAGGCACACAGTTATCCAACTCCAAACCCAATAAGATTCATAACGCATTGCAACTGTACAATGAAGGCTGACAGATTGTTTGGAAGTATTGAGATCATACACAACTACAGTTTTCCATAACAAAGTGGCAATCAGAACGGAGAACACGTGCAAATATGCTATCAACAACATTTATTCTCACAACCTCAGGTGTCAAAGGTTCTTCTAACTGATTTATTCAACACTCTGTGACAAATGAGAAGGAAAGAAGCGCCTTGAACTATATCACTACAACCTTTTTCTAGAAGCTTTGGGCTTCTAAAATTAGCAGTTGGTATGAAAAATCAACGACCGCCATTTGAATTAACAGTCTTGGAAAACCTTTTTTTTTTTCTTTCTGTTCAAAAATGAAGGCACGTGGTCTGGTTCAAACACCAGACCAGCCCTTGGAGCATGTATGGAAATACCATTAAGCTACAAGAGAGACAACACCATGACATGTGTCAACACTGGATAAGGAATTTCCGCAAATATTTGCGCAACAAAATATAATTTCACAAATTCCATAGTATTAACTTACAAGTTACAAGAGAAACAACACCACCTCATTTTAACGACACTAACAATAAATAGTTGCAGTCATGCTAACAATTATTCATTACAGAAGAAACTTAAAACATACCTCACACCAACAATCCTTTGGAATTCCTCTTCCATAGACCGAATCATATAGCTGTGAAAATCATACTTTGGTGAAAGGTTGTGATTCTGGCATGAGTGAGAGAAAGAAGAGTAAAAATTCAGTTAACAGTAGTTAATATCGACATCCCCAACATATTAACAGGCAAGCAGAAAGATACTAATGATATTAGATTACCTAAGCATACATATAATAAGAAAAAACAGCAAAGAGTAACCAATTTTACGATATTCTACATACAACATACAAACAATTTCTACCGAAAAATAAAAGATCGCCGATGTTAGAATCTTCTAGACACCATGGGTCCTGGCACATGTCATGCATTTGATATAAAAATAAACACAGTTGAATCCCTCAAAAAAGAACATTTTAAAGTTGTTTATTCAGTTAACGTTATGAGTTCGTCGTATCATTATTTGTTACTTGTTATAAAACATGCAGAAGCTCAGTTACTAGGCATAGCAATGCAAGTTCATATTAGCAGTAAGTTTGAAGGCGTATAGTGAAAACCAACCATATCATTAAGGGCTAACAGCAAATATTATACTCAACAAAATACAAATAAAAGAAAAACAAAATGTCGAAGACTCATTATACAATTCTAGCAAATGAGAATACTAGATACCGTGATGAAGCCCTTGCGGAGTGTTAAATAGTCAGCACGAACCACTGAATTCCCAAATTGCCGAAAGAAACATCTCTGTACAGAAAAACATTCAACTATTAAACAACCTTGAATTAAAGCACCTGCTTTCAAATACCATGAAACACAAAGAAACCTAAATAATAATCATATAAAAGGAAGAAAGCAGCCATCGGATTTCATTGTTCTTCTCTTGGTTTCGTGAAAGTGGGCACAAAAATATAGCAATTTCAGGGAAACTCAATGCGGGCTTGTTATGCTTATCAAACATTAAAAGGATTCATCAATAAGAAATTAAGAATGTAAAACATAAAAAAAAAATAGAGGTACCTATGTATTTAAGTAAGAAAAGAGAGTTGCACCTACCACCCAGATAAAAATGTTATTCCTGACAACAGGAGTTGATGGATTTACAAAGCTAGACTGCCTTCGCATTGTCATCTGCCGTGTGATCTCTGCTACAGAGTATATCTACAGTCATCTCATAGGGAATTTGAAAATCTACGCCACAGGGTTCATAAAAGTTCAAGCACCCAAACGCTCTGTCTCTTTCTCTCTCTCTCTCTCTCTCTTTCAATAAGGGGACCAATAATCTGATCTGTATATAATTCTACTAACGCAATGTCACAGCTTACCAGTCAATGAATCATGTCGGTCCATGTGAGCCTCCTCCTCCCATGCTCTCCAGCTGTGAATCTGGTCACATTAACAGTAATCCATGACAAAAATAGTATTTCAATGTTATATTCTCATCTTGAGTTTCAGTAAATACCCACTATCATCAAGTCATCATGCATATAACACATTAGTGCACCAGAGAGAAGTAACAACTGAAGACTGATAAAATCCCCTTAAACCAGATAGATATTTAAGAGAAGGTATGCAAAATGTTGATGTAGATGTCCATATCTGTACATAATATACATAAACACAATGCCTGAGATACAACACTCTAGATTCACGTCTCAGTTTGTGCTTAGCGTTGCTGTTAAATAAAAAGCTAACCACATAGAACAAAGAATGCAAGCCTTTTCTCAAGGTAATAGTAGTCATAACTGATAGAGAGACATCAATTTAAAGAATACCAACACCAAACTTCTTATTGCTGATTTTATCAGTAAAAAAGTTCTAAGGGGAACTAGACACTTTCACCTTCTATGTTTACTTAATTTCGTAGATTGGCCACCAAAAAATATGCAGTCTACTTTAGATAGCTTATCAGTAGTAACTACAGTATCCACTATCCAGAAGAAAAACAGTTTAACGGTAATGGCAGGTTTGAGGTTTCACTACTGTACCTAATATGGTCTGGGTGGAAAAGAAGAAGAAGCATTAGAAAAACGAAGAAAATTCTAACCTTCACTATTGCCAGCAACATCGTTAAGCAGCTGTAGGATATATGTGTTATTGCCATGACAAAGATGAAGCGATGCAACTGCTCAAGGCCTTGATATGAAACAAATGGCTCATAACCCTGTTCAAACAAACGAATTTCCATTTTAACCAGGATTGTCCAGTAAGGCATAAATTGTAGTTTGCGGAAAATAAGACAGGAAGAAGTCCAAACTAATTTCCTTCAGCATTTCAATCATATTCAACAATTTCCAAGAACCAAGTAAATATGGTACACCAGAAAAAAGAACTCGTAGATGAAAAAAAATGTATTTAGAAATTTAGAACAGAACTTTAGTTAACTGTTATACACGGATAAGTAACGCACCTCTTTGCAGGAATTACGATTCAACTCATTTAACACTCTTCTGAATGAGTGAGGCAGAACACTAAACATCAACAGCTTACGTTTATTTTCAGTTTCTTCAGTAATCTCAGACCTAGAGCATGGAGAAAAACTGCTATTGTAGAACTTTGATGGAATGCAAATATTGGCTATCATGCTTGAGGTAGCCGTCAAAAGGAGAGAGATAAACCCAAGTAACATCAACTCTGGAGGCAGCAGGACAAGACATGAAAGTTTATAAGTGAGAAGTGTGATATGAAGTTATTTTGTTACATGTCTAGCCAGAAACACATCAAAAAGAATTTCTCAGATCATTGAGGAGGTTGAAACTGTGTTTATGTTATATACCTTCTTTCATTTTCTCCACAGCTTCAAGCAAGGGCTTACGATTAGTTTTCCGCAACCACTGAAACCAGCAGAACATACACACACACACACACACACAAAACAATTATATGTAAATGCTGTTCAAAATACGAACTCTCAACTACAACATTTCATGCGTTTTAAGTTTGATTCGTAAATCAAGACAGAACAGAAAATTTTATGTCAACTGAGCTTCCTAATTCCACTCAAATATCCAATAGCTTAAGAAACAATAAAGAAAAATGAAGTTCATGAAAAAGTATCACTTACATAGCTTAACCTATGGATTCCGCGCTCGACAAGCAGAGAAACAGCCACAAATATTGTCAACACAGTAGCAACAGACCATGTTGGAGTCAAGGCCAAAGATCGCATTTCTTGTTGGTCTTCCGCCATTCTGAATTATTCTTCTAATCAAACACTACGTAAACTATTTCGAATGCACCCAGAAATGTAACTATTTCGAACCAAGATTACACACAATAGCACACCAAAAACTACTCCAACCACATCATCCTACACACTAAGAACACAAATTCCCAATGCTTTTGATCTCTAACCACACCAATGACATTCACAAGGAAAATACAAAACATGGGTTCTCTGGATTTCTAACATTTAACCACCAGCTAATCATAATGTGAACATAAACTGTAATAACAACGAAAAGGATCGGTAAAAAACCCTTTCAATTTTCCAGAAATGGAGAAAATACCAACTTGAATAATCAATACAAGATGAACTGATTAAGTAAACCTGAGAATAGCCAACTGGTTGCTTCTCAGTCCATTCCAAGTACCTCTTTGTTGCTAGTTTTACTCTTCAACTTGCAATCTCATTTTCCACCCACCAAAAGAGAAAAACCCAGAAAATGCACCAAAAAAGGAACAATCTTTCCTTCCTTTTTCCTGCAAATTACCAACTCTCTGTAAACTCTTGTGAGTTGTGATCAAGAACGCAACTTTCCTCCAACCCTTCTGGCCTTTATCCTTCCTGGTAAATATTCAGGATCAGAGGGCCCAAAAGAAGACTTTTTCTTACCACATTCAGCCTGGATCTCATTCAACACCCAAAACAGGGCAGATTCAAGGGATCATACAAAACCCAAAACTCACTGCTGATTGAAAGTTGCAAAACCCAAAATGTAATCCCTTTTTCTCGGTGGTTTCCTTGTGAAAATATGATTTTTCTTGGGTTTAAAAAAAAAAAAAGATACAAAAACGTGGGATCAAAAATGGCGAAAAGAAGTAACTTTCTGCTTTTTCTTCTTTTTTGGGTTTTTTTGTACTTTTTGATGGGCAACAACACCTAGTCTGAATCAAAAACAAAAAAAATGCCTGAACCTTCACCAGAAGAGATCTCACTCCCACTCTCTTGTGTGTTTCTTTCTCTTGTCCTTTTATGGACCAAAAACATTTGAAGTTGGAAAAAGTGTTTTGTGTATTGACATCTCTGTCCCTGGCAATTGTGTCATTAACCGATGTTACATGTCCATATTATTTGTAATGTTAAGTGTCGTGGAGGACTGAAATGGTATTTCATGTGGTTAGGTTGACTGCGACGTAGTTTTCTAACCACTGTTGGCAGATTTTGCTTTTGTTGACAGCTACTTGAACTCTTTTGCCACCCCCGCGATTGTATTTAAAGTTGGGTGAGTTGGGTCTGGCTACAATGTTATGTACTATTTAGTAACATGACTTTTATGTCAATTTAATTGTATTAATTTTTTGTAAGATTTAATTGGTAATTTTCCAGACCACCCACTTCAATGATACGTAGCGTGAAAGAAAATTGTACATTTTCTTTATTTTTGTAAATAAAAGCTTTCTTGATTTTTTCCATTTTTCCTAGCTATTTTGAACTCTCAACTTCTTCTAGAATGGGGGGAGGTAATTTTTGATCTTTTGATAAGCAAGGGCAAAATGATATTTGTAGTAATATACTAATTTTAACATTTTCATCTTCTCTTTCTGCGCCCCTCAACTTAATTTGATCTCTTAATTTTTCTAATTTACTTCTCAACTCATTTTGATCTCTTCATCTTTCTAATTTATTCAATTTAAAAGCCAGAAAATATGTATTCTAAGTGTCAAAATCGCTTTACAATAATGTTTGGAGATGTGATCATGTGGAAGGAAACTACATGGGAAAGATCTAAAATGGTATAACCAGAGAGTATCTTCAACAACCTAGCTGAAGGAAGCTTTATGGCTACTTTAATAAAAATAAAAAGCAAAAAAGAAACCTCCAACAGGCTAGCTAAATGTCTAGCTAGCTTAACATTTTGTACAGTAATTACCAAAATTTAGTCAGAATGAGAGAGAAAGTTAAATTTTCGGTAGACATTAAAAAACTATAAATTGCATTGTTTATCGGCTTTAAAAGAAGAAAAAGGACTTGGGTTGTTTTTTTTTAGTACATCGATATTTTTACATTAAGATGAGGGAAGTTCGGCTAAACTACACAATAGACAACCTAATTTGGTATCGAATTCGTCATTCACAATATTCGAATCTAAGACCTCTCACTTCCAAGTAAAGAAAAATATCACTAAATCGTAGTACTGAGTGACAACTTAGGTTGCTAAGTTTAAGAAAAAAATAAAATATTAAAATGTTTTAACTTAAGCTAAAATAGCTACTATTGTTGAAAGTGTCAGGTAGCCAAATTAACATTTAGATCATTTGGCTAGCTACATAACAAAAATTTGACTAGTATTGTCGGAGATGTTCTAGGTAACTAGCCTTCATACACACTGCTTATGAGCGTGCAAAAGACATTTTTTGAACCACGGCGTTCTACAATAGACTTACACATTTTAAATATTTTTATATTAAAGAAAAACTATACAAAAAGAATTAATTATGCATGCAGAAGGCATTTTTTGAATCAGGCATGTTATGATGAACTTACACATTTTAAATGTATTTATATAAAAAAAATAATGTACAAAAATAATTAATTATTAAAAAATTACTGTTATGACAAAAATACCCCTGCATTATTTTGAATTGTTTTTTAACTTTTTTGTTTTAGAGGCATTTTTGTCCACTTCTTTTAGTGAAGCTTGTGATCCCAAAAACACTCTTCACTTTAATGTTGGCTTTATATATAGAGATCAAGCGATTATTTAAGAACTAATTATATAATTATTTGAGATTGGTCCGATTAATTAAAGTCCATCTGCCCTTTTTTTCGTGTATAGTGTGTACCATCTGGTGCTCGTTAATTAAGATAGTGATGTTTAAACATCCACAATTATTTAAGTTCTGTGTGTTAGCTTTGCACTTTACAGATAGCGAGTGGTTCATAACTTGATATCATATTGGGACAACTTTAATTAAAAAGATTTAATTTCCCAAAATTAAGCTCATAGCCAATGAATTTGGCAAGGTGAATATAAAATATAAAAAAAATAAAGAACATAAGAAGGAAAATGAAAGGAATTTACGTATATATTTTATTTAATTTCCCAAAGTTCCAACAGGTAAATCACATGCATTATAGACACAATCGAGACTAGCAATGAATCTGAACGCAATATTTATTTCCCCATCTATGTTAAACAATACAGATTAATTAAAATAAAATAGTTTATCAAGAGAGTGTCATGAATCATGACAGATGTGCAAGGATATGTTCCACAGATTACAATTAGTAGACTGTTATTGTAAGAGAGGAATCATTTAATTTGTTTTCTTCTGAATCTTTTGAGTTGTGACAAGATGCCAAGAGGACATGGTAGTGTAATGTAATTTAGTAGGAAAAAATTGGTATGCATAGCGTCTTCGAGTGTAAATGGGGAATTACCATCACTTTTAACACGTTTTTTTGTTCGTTCGTTCGTTCGTTCATGCTTAAATGAAGCAAAGAAAAGAAAACTGTGAGCTAATCATAATTATTTGACGGTAAGTAGACAATTTTAAACCGTTGATTGCAAGTGTTGATCATAAGAAATAAATTTCAGACTCTTGGTTTTCGTGCACTATTACGTTTGTTTAAATTCGTTACTAGTGATTTTTTAATTTAACGAAGATTTTTCATAGAGGACTAAAATGATTAATGATGGACAATCTTATAAACCACTTCTATTGATTTTAAATTTCAAAGACCGAAGTGAGGAGTTATGACAACTTTAGGAACCATTTTGGCTAAAATCATACATTTAAGATTAATGCAGAGACTTTTTTTTATTAGGGAACTTTAACGAAAAGCTCCCGGTACTGTTCACTTTAACGAAAAACTATATTTTTACACTAATAAGTCAATCATGGTACTATTCACTTTACCCTTTATTTTGTTATTTTCGTTAAAACTCAAAGTTTTCAAGTCATTTTCATTAGTTTTTTTTTATTTTTTATTTTATACCACATTGAGATATCATTTCATGTAGCAACATCTAATGAAATAAATTGATAAATTAATGTGACATGTACAAATCATTTGTCACATTATATGGTATAGCAACATAACATAAAAATTAATCTCCCTAACATTTTTCTATATTTAACCGTAAATGGACAATTTATGAACTTTCAATGGAACTAAGCTGACTATGGAACGAGGGAGGTCCTATATACAGAACCTCCTTATTACATCTTATATAATATTGAAATCAATTAACGGTTCATAGTTGTCGGTGATAATTAACAAAGCTGATTTTGATATTGTCACCCTAGTGCATAAAATGGCACTGCTCCTTTTGACAAAATCAAGTGGAAAGGAGATGATGACGGCAACTGATTGTGTAATTTCATTCATTTTCCGACGTCCCCATCATCAAGGAGGGATTGGCGCCAAAGTCAAACAATCGAGTCAAAGTCGTGTTTGGGATTTGACTCCGCAAAAACAATCGGTCGATGGTCTTTTCTTCCATAATATATGCATGCATGCACGGATGCATGAATCATGATCAAGTCATCAAACTTTTGCTTTGACATAGAATATGCGCGACACTTTTTAAAGGAACCCAAACCACTACGAAACTACGAGCCTCCGAGGGCCATGCAGATGCAGTGACCTACCCTACAGTAGCAAACTAGGAGAATATTGCTTTTGTTTGACCATAGATTATAGAAAACTCTAGAGTACGAGTGTTTTAAACAAAAATCTAACGATTAAGCTCTCAAAGTATGGGCACTACAGAGTATGTACGTATCTTGGAAAATCTCTTCTTTGGCATGCAGCAAGTTCTGGTATGTATCATAATTTTAACAAACGAAAAGAAGAGAAGAAAAAGCTGATTACAAATTTTGATTCTTATCCTATATATGAAAATTTAAAAACAAGATTATAAATTGACAAGACGACTACATAACACGAAAATATGTATCTTGCAAAACCTTCATTCCTATATTAATTTATAATGTCTATTTATAAAGACCTAATTCTAAACAAATACAAAAGGAACCAAAAATCCTAAGAAGCATGTCCAAGAGAAGTTATAAAACCGCTAAATTCTATTTAAAAGAGAAAAATCTAAAACATTCATCTCCAAGAGACTCTATAAAGGACTTTATATAGTAGTAATGTGAAGTTCAATGAATAGTTGCTCTTTAACTTTATAGAGTCATTGTTCATATGTTAAAAAATTAATAAAACTCAATGGTGGACCGGTAAACTATGGAGAAAAGGAAGAGAGAGATAAGATGGTTTCAAAAAATGAGTGGGTTGAGTTTGAATTATAATAATAAAATACTCAAAATTTGTTAAAATAGAAAGTATTATTGGAAATGAAAGTTAAACTGAGTAGCTAAAATTAAACTTTGAAAGTATTATTGCTAGCTTATTGTGAGATTAAAACTACCCTCTTAGTGTAGATAATATCGTTTGTTAAAATAAAATTAAAAACAAAAAAAAAATTTAAAAATTTTCTTGGAAATGCTCTAACAGGAAAGCTTTCATAATCTTTATCATGCTATAAAACCTAGTACGTTAAATACTAAAAAAATAAACCAAATTCTAACTCAGTAACTTTCCCAACATATAAACCAATAAAAGAAAACTTTTATGCAACGGGATGATATAATACTTTGTGAGTATCCCAACTTAATTTGCATTGTTACATAACATAAATCATATGTGACATATAATTAATTTGAGATACTGTCACATTGACGATTTGAGTGTTTTGTGTTTCATAAAGTTTAAAAGATTATTAGGTCACGTTCTATTGATATTTTTTTATGAAGTTGATTTTCTCACAGTTCCAAGTTCCAACTAACGAAAATTATGAATTTCAAATTGGTTCGTTCTGAAAAAACGCGTTTGTTTGTTAGGGTGGGTGGACTAGAGAGAGTAAATGCAATTTGAACTTGATTTGCATTGTTACCAGCTGTTGCCACTTGGCCCAACGTATTACCTTACCTATTTGCTAATAAA